AGTGGCTTAGGACATAAAGTTGCCACTTTACCACATCCACTCCAGACTTCCATGCATTTACAATACCTACATTGTCACTCCAGGCAAATGCATTTATTGGGTGTTGAGTGAGTCAGAGATACAGACGTTGTCTTACTCTAAGTTACTATATGACTGCATCACCTGGTGGTGCTGCTATTGACTTTTTCAGTTCTCCAGCTTGATTCATAAATAGGAACTTTCCTGCCTGGCCAGAGGTGTTTCTAGATCTTTGTAGCTCTACATGGTCTTCTGCAACCACCCTTGGTCTCTCAGACTGGAAACAAGTGCCTTATCCTCCTGCTATCCACGTGCTTCGCAGACTTATCTCTTGTTGAGAGGGCCCTAGGGTCCCCTGACAGATAGGCAGACCTAAATAGCCTGTACCTATCCCTGACATCTGCAACCCTATTTTCACTTATGCTCTTATTTTCTCTCAAGGTCTTTCAGTTAAGAATAAAAGGTATAAAGCTAAAAAGAAAATATTTGTATATATTTGAACTTACAATTTCTTGCTTCCTCTTCATCATGAGAGTTTATGCTGAATTTCTGCTGCATCATTTATCATGAGGCCACATAGATGGGAAGGAAAAGGGAATCTCTCACCTACTACCATAATTTGACTTATTGTGATCACACTGGAAGATAAAGGCTTCATGCAAAGATGTCTAATGAGAAATTATATAATTAAAAACCTTTATTATATATATTTTGGAGACTTACAGTAATTACACAGGTAGAGTATGTTTGCATTAGAGATGTAGGGAAGCTTGCTAATTTGCCTGTTTTAAGCATATTTCCTTAAAATTCTTCCGGGCATGCTTTCACAAAAGTACATTTTCATTTCTTTCTTTAATAAACTTTTTATATTGGGATAATTTAGGATTTGCAAATAAGTTGTAAAAATAATGAAGATTTTTTCATTTATTGCTTCACCATTTTCAACTTTTTCTGATTTCATCACCTTACATCACCATGGCACATTTTCAAAATTAAAAACAATTATATTACTAACTGTGTCTCTTCCCTCTCAAAAATGCCATGTTTAAGACTTATCCTCTGGTACCTGTTACTGAGACCTCATTTGGAAACATAATTTTTGCAGATGTAATCAAGTTACAATAAATTTTGATGGGATTAAGGTGATTTTTCCTTGTGAGAAGAAAATGTGAGTACAAAGACACAGGAAGGAATGCCAGGGGGGACAGAAGCCCAGGATGGGGTGAAGTGGCCCAGGATGCCCGGCACAGTCAGCAACCAACAGAAAGAGAGAACAGACCCACTGAGACATTGCCTCACATTTTTATCATCCCAAACTATAACATAAATATGTTTCTCTTCTTTTAAGATACTTAGTACATGAGCAAAATGCTGAAAAAATCAGTTTTCTATGGAGGTGGCTACCTAGGTTGTAGACAACTGCTTTCTCTCTGTCTTCTCACGTCACCTTTCCTCTGAGCACATGTGGAGAGAGATCCCTAGTATATCTTCTTATAAAAGCACCAATGCATGTGTTAAGGTCTGGTTCTCATAATGTCATTTAACTTTAATCCCCTCTGTGAAGAACCTATTTCCAAATACAGCTACATGATGGGTGATGGCTTCAGCTCATAAATTTGGAAGGGACACAGTTCAGCCTGTACCATTACTGCATCTAGCTCCCCAAGTCTCCTGTTGTTCTTTCATGTAAAATTCATTCACCCCATGACAACGACCCTAAAAAGTCTCATCCCAACACCAGTTTTAAAGTCCAGAGTCTCACCTTATGTAGAGGTGAGTCAAGGTACAATTCATCCTGAGGAAAAATAATTCTCCAGCTGTGAACCTGTGAAAGCAGACAAGTTTTACACTTCTGTAATACAAGGATAGGACAGGCATAGAATATACATCACTATTCCCAAAGGAAGAAATAAGAAAGAAAGAAAGAGTGATGAGTCCCAACCAAGTTCAAAACCTTGCAAGGCACATTCCACCAGGTTTTAAGCCTTGATGATAATCCTCCTTGTGTAGTCACTGGGAGGGCAACTTTGCTCTCAGAGCCCTAGGTAGTAGCTTCATCCCTTCAGCTTTCCCTGGTCTCCCTGCCCCACAGGTGCTGGGGTGGAGAAGTCTGGAACATTGAAGCTGTGAAACTGCTCCCATCCCCTGAAACTAAGTGAAATGTCTTTCTGTTAGACCTTCATGATCTCTGAATCATCTTGGGGTCAGTCTTATCTTTTCTTGAAGAATAAGACATGTTCATAGTCAAATATCTTTATTTTTCCAATATAAAGAACCAAAAAGTTAAATAATCTTTTTTAAAAATGTCCCATCTCTTTTCCCTTTGGTCCAAGATGATAGTGCCTCTGTTGGTGAAATTCAATCTCTCATACTGGCTTTTGCAGAGGTGACCATTTAAAGTCATGGATAGCCTCTCCATGAAGGTGCTCTCCCCCCATACTCTTGATATTCTCAACACAATAGTGTGAATTTTTTGAGTTTTGCATAGACTGAGATTTTTCCAAATCTTCATGGCCCTCTTTCTTTTTACTTAATGATTTCTTTAATTTCTCCTCTTCCTATCACATTCCACTAGAAGCAATAGGAAGAAGCCAGGTGGTTCTTTTGCTTACAATTTCATCTAATTGGCCAAGGCTATTGTTCAAAAGCTCCACCTTCCCCAAAACATGAGGACACAATTGTGCCAAGTGTGTTTTCATTTTTAATGCATTTTTAAAGTAACATCTCTCCAATAATATGTTCCCTGTTTCCATCTGAGATTTCACCAGAGTTGCCTTTAGCATCCTCTTTCTCTTCCCATAGCCTCTTTAAGGCAATACCTTTTTTTATAGCATATATATCAAAACTGTTCTAGCTTCTACTCATTACTTTCCTGGCCATTTCCAAATTTTTAGGCTTTGATAAAACAGCACCCCACTTCTCAGTATTAAAATCTGTATGAATCTCCGTGAATTGGCAACAAAATGCCATAGAACGGATAACTTAAATGACAGAAATTTGCTTTCTGGAGCTAGAATTGCTATGACTGTGTTGCTAGTAAATTTGGTTTCTAGTTAGGGTTCTTTCTGATCTCTCACAGTGGCTTCCTGGGGGTTTTGGAACTTGCTCACGAAGATGCTGTAGGTGTATTAATTTTCTGTAGTAAACCACTTCCTGCTGTAAACACCTAAAGAGCAGTTAGTCTGATGTCTGATTTTAAAGCCTCTGGTATCCTTGAATTCAGGAGAATTACATTACTCTAGAAAGAATTACATTTTGGGGAGTGGGGCAAGAGTGCCTTAGACTTTCATTTTCTCCTTTTAAAGTGGAGAAATACAAAGAATGAAAAATATTGGTAAGAAATTTATTGATCATATACCAAAGAGTATAAAAGAAATTACTCAATAAGATTTATCCCTAGGAGACAAAGTAATAGAAAGACAAACATAAGTCTCCAAATAAAGAGAATAGGAAAAATTATTTAAAAATTTTCAAAAAAAATCAATAACAGTTAATTTAAAACATGGAAATGGAAGGCAATGCAAAATAAAATGTAAGGTGAAAAAGGAGAAATGCCTCCAGAAAACTCAGGCACATGAAGAGAAAAAAATAACATAACGAATGTAGAAAATGGCACACACCTCAAACAAACTGTAGACATAAGAGACTAATAGCCCACGTCCACTTTACATATCTTAGAGTGAATTTGGATTTTGTGGTTCCTTATCACAAACTGTTATTATTATCAGCAATGAAGAGACTTCCAAACTATTTTAATTTCCTATTTTAGGTAGAAACCACCTATAGAACTTTTCTGAGAGGACCAGAAGTTTTATATTTCTACTACAAAATGTTCCTTTCACCTCACAAAACTACTCTGTGGGATCTCTCTCTTGTCTCTGTCTCTCTTTCTGTTTGTCTCTCTGTCTCTGTCTGTCCATCTGTCTGTCGGTCTCGCTCTCCTTTCCCTTGGTCCCTCCTCCAGTCCCTATTATACCTCTAATATATCTGCTAGAGATTTCCACTTGGATGACCTAATAATCTATGATAACACAGTTATTGCATATAGTTAAAAGAATGAAAAGAGAGGAAAAGCAGAGGCAGATGTATATATGATATGTAAACATGACAATGAATTATATGTTGGAAACTATATGAGAAGAACACCTATGCTGAGAGAGGAGAGATAAAACTTCATTTCACTAGATAGTCAAGAAATAAGATTTTGGAGGGTGATATGGTTTGTATACACATGCCCCAGGGGCTTGGTCTGCAGCTTGGCACTATTGGGAAGTAGTAGAAACTTTAAGAGGTGGGGCCTAGTGAGGGGTTTTCAAATAATTGGGGTCTTGCCCTTGAAGGGCATCCATTCTCTCCTTCTTTCTCTCTTTTACTCCTTGGTTATGAGGTAAATATTCTTGCTCTGCCATGCAATTGTGCCATGGTGTGCAGGGTTGCCATAGGCTAAAAGCAACAGGGCCAATTAGGCATGCACTGGTCCAAAACTAGGAACTAAAATAATCCTTTTCTAACTGTAATGCATTTAATACAGTGATGGGAAGCTGAGTAACATAGGAGCCATCACAATTTGATGAGGAAAAGAAAATCTATACCAATTCCTGCCCCATCCATCCCCATGGCACCATATTCCACTGTAAAGAATTACAGCAGTCGTATAAGAAAACAATATAACCTAGACAGAATATTTTAAATGTTTAAGTGATAGTGCTATGGGGCCATCCTGAACAGAGAGAAGAAAGCTGCAGTTTTGGATTCAGATGATGCTTAGATGTAGAGTGATCATGATCTTTTCTTTACCTGTAGGAATGACTCTTCAAGTTGCTTTAGTATCCGAAGACAGCCTGTCACTCACTCACCTGCGGTTTCCACTGGATTGAGATTTGGATTGAATAAAACAGTGGAAGAAGCCAGAAATTTTACAAAAATTTCCTTGTAAAATAGAACTTTTTTGAGAGTTTCAAAGTATTTATTACATTCTTTTCCCCCAGTAAACATAGATAATGGGAGGTCTCAAAATCTCACTCCTGATTGTGACCCATTGCGGCAGGTGACTCATTACAGATGCAGTTATTCTCAAACTGATGGCCCAGGAGCGCAGATCTCAGCCTTGGAATCCCGGAACGCTCTCGTTATTCTCACGAGTATCGAGGGTTCTTTTCTGGTCCCATCTTCCTTTCCACTAAGAACTTCTGTCCTTAATGACTCCATAGGACTCACTGAAACAAGAAGAAATTCTCTTGGTTACACATATGAGCCAGAAGAAGGAAGATACTGATCTCAGAGAGTGGAAATGTGCAAAAGAATCAACATGTCTCTGTACCTTCATACACTTAGAGAACTCCTCTTAGCATAGGACAACATGACCTTTGATGTATAGTCTGCCAAATACTTGTCCCAGAAAATTATTATTTCATAAGATGAATACAGAACAAATGGGAGGAAAGAAAACAGTTTCAGGTTATCTATCCCCCAATAAAAGACCAAATCCTTCTTTGTGATTTTGCTCTGATTCTCCAAATTTCTCTGCAGACAATGCCAGTGTTTATAAATTGTCCCTAAGTAGTTGCTGTTCCCTAAAATCTTGAAGTCAATAGACATCAAAGAGTTCACAACTTTCATCTTACTTCCACAGCAAAGAGAAAACAATAATGTTTTTGTGTTAGCTAATTAAAAGTATTATAGCTAATGTTGTCTATATAAGCACCAGTGCTTTTAGCTCTGTTAGTTGATAAGAAAATATGTAATTATGCTCTCCCCCTCTAGCCCAAGCTGCTATTTATCTATAAGAAAAATCAATCTCTTGTATTAGAGGTAATGGTGGGCATAACAGGAAAATCTCACCAGAATGCCCATATTTTAGTAGCTCACCCAACTCCCTATATTTTGGTTCACGTAATTAGTACAAAAACCAGTCGATAGTCGAGAGAACTAACACTCAAATTTGGGGAATGTGCTCTTCATAGCACAAGCTGTGTGCAGCATCAGCACTGAGAATAGTGTAGGAGGGTACATAACATCCAGTGCCCCAGGATTTCCCAGCATCTATGAGGACACAGAGAATCCCAAGAAATGCCTTGCAAAGGGAAAACTGCGTCAAAGAGGTAAGAGCCCTGTCATGTTCCGAACTCCTAGAAAGGACAGCTGTACTCATTTTTCCATTCCTTGCCCAGGTACAAGAAGCCCTAGGTCATAAATGGACGTCTCTTTGGGGCTGGGGATTTAGCTCAGTGTTTCCACTGCCTGCCTCACAAGCACAAGGACCCAGGTTCAATCCCTGGTACCACAAAAATAATAATAATAATAAATTGACATCTCCTTACCTTTCCATGGGTTAAATGCCCATTCACAAATTGCTGGAATAGGAAGTTTCAGATAAAATCCCACCTCTTGACCTCTTTTTAACCATTAATTTTCAAGGTTTGGTATCTAAGGGCAAAAATGGGTCTCAAGAACATTATCAGAGGGTGGAATTCAATTATGGATTACATAGTAGAGGCATTTGTACAAATATCTGAGAATTACAGTGAACTCATGTAAGTTTTGTGGCAATTTACTTAAATTACCCAACAGCATTAAATTATGTATTCTCATAATATATGCAACATGATCAAAATATATGGTAAATGTTTAAACAAATATTACAGAAAAGACTCACTGCCATTAAACATTCTCAAAATGCCTTCCCTTTCTTCCAACATGCCTATCACTCATTGTTGCCAATTTTGGAAGCAGTTTTAAATATTTTTGTGTCTTTATGAGGTGTGATCAAAAATATATGAATGCTGCTACTGTGCTGTCCAAAAGACAAGCAGGCCTGTACAATATTAGGGTGTGCAGGATCTGACACCACGGCACATGGAACTTTTCCTCAACATTAAAATTCCATTTTGTAAATATTCTGAATTGATTCAGAACATCAAGTCAGCCAGACAGCTCAACTAGAGACATGAAGCAGGACTTCCAGAACTGCTTCAGAAAATGGAAAGAATAAGTGTGTTCAAAGTGTGTGCATGTGGGGGGATTTTGAGAGTGATTAATGACAATGTAACTTTTATTGTAATTTTTTAAAAAGTAAGTGCTGGGTGTAATGGCACATGCCTGTTATCCCAGCACTCAGGAGGCTGAGGTAGGAGGATCATCTTAAGTTTGAGGCCAGTCTGAGCTATATAGTGAGTTCAAGGTCAGCTTGAACTATATAGCAAGATCTTATCTCAAATAAAAAGTAAGTGTTCACCATATTTTTTATCATATCTCATTTTATCATTTCCGGAAATGGCAGTTTGGGACTAAACATTCTGGTTGTGCTCACCTAAAGCTATCACATAATTTAGTTGTGTTTGGGAATGCGACAAATTCAGCTATAGAATATCATTCTTCCCTGGAGTTTAAAAACAAAAAATTTTTCCCAAGTCCAAACATGTATTCAGATAGTCACTTTTTGTTTGGTATCTGGAATCAAACTCAGGGCCTTGCACTTGCGAGGCAGCTGGCAGAACCACTGAATTAAATTCTTGGCCCCAACTCACTTATTTTTAATACCTCAATGCAGCACAATAGACTCTTTCAGGTAAGCCATGTTAATTTTACATGAGGGAAACCTGGGGTGAGTGTCTACAGGACATGTTCATGAAGAAAAAGTTGTGGGAGGCCAGAGATCCCCAGTATATGGGGTCTTCCCTTCCTGTGATGTCACAAGAGTCCTCAAACAGGGAAAAGCGAGCACAGCTAACTTTCGACAAAGAGGCAAGTTCCATAACACATAGCCTGTGGGGATTGTGATCATGGGCTGGGGTTGTATCTCAGTGACAAAGAACAATTTCCATGTTGAGGGCCCTGAGCCAAAAGAAAAGAACAATGTCCCTGTTATCTGCAGGAGTTTTAGGCAAGAAGTATGCAAAATGTCAGCCAGGAAAAATGGATTTTCAATATCCTTGGGACTTTAACGCGATGACCTCATCTTCACAAAGTTCTTCTTCCCTCTTCTCGATCACAAAGATAAATTTATAGACATTTTCTGGAGAACAGCCATATTTTCTTCCACTTTCTAACATAAATAATTCTGGCTTAGTCACTGACTCATTTAAGAGGGAATTTTGATGAAAATAAACCTCATGTATAGATGACAAAAGAGAAACATTTCAACCAGCAAGAGTTAATGAGGGCTCAGAACCAAACCTTTGCTTGAAAACAAATTTCTTTAGAAAGAAAGATCACAGCCCTAAAGCTAAGCATAGAGAAAGGAGAGTCATGTGCAGAGCAGGAAGAGCCTGCTGAATTCATTGGGCCTTGCATGGAGCCTGGAATGCCTGGTTACCCAGCACATAGTCTAGGGAAATGACTAGAATTGCCAGCTATGGCCAAAAGAATCCAGAGGTGAGGGGCCAAATATGCTTACCTGGCTCTTTCAGATGGCCCGTTTTTATCCCATTGCCATCTTTGTCCTCAAAAGTGGTATTATGTGGAGAGCAGGCCTGAATTGGAGCAAGACTAAAACAAAGCATCTTTGGTCAGAGTCCATTGTCTGAAACTTGTTCACATATCCTCAGATCACATAGGGTTCCTCATCTCTCTATAAGGTCCTGTTACTCTCAGTCAGCAAGTTGCTTCCTCATGCTTACAAGTACACCAACAAAAAACTTCCCAATCCAGTCCCGTTCTATGTCTGCTTTTATATTCAAGATTGTGATTTCTAAAACATCTCAGCCTTCAGACACTGAATCTCAGAGATCAGAGAAGTGCAGACACTGTTTTCTTGTTTCCCACAGTATAACAGACATCCTCCCTCTCCCTACATACACACATTCTGTCACTAGAGTTACCCTGTGCTGCAAGGCCTCCATGGTACTTACAATTTTCAATGTAAGGGTCTATCTCAAGGGACAAAACAGTATAAGTGACAAAGAAATAATACACATAGTATCACAATTAAGACAAAGAACCAAGGAGAACCATTTGGGTATACATTGGTCCCTGGTTCAATCTCTGCCATTGGGATGGAAGAGAGCATGAAATTCTCTACCCCAGTTACTTTTCATCTCCTAGGTGACCACAGTGATGAGGTCACAAGTGCTGACACAATGGGACTGGTGAAGATCTGGATGGGGATTGGGTAAGCTTCATTCCATCTGTACAAGGGACAGTGATGACTTCCATAGCTTTACCAAACTTAGAATACTAGAACGAATGACCAAGAGGGCACAGTAGCACAGAGCTACTCAGGAAGAGCATCTGGCTGCAATGGAACAACATCCACATGTACAAATGGAAGGACCTATTTCTCTTGACTTCTCAGCCTTGGAGTTGCTCTTATTCAGCAGAGTAACACCTCACTGGGACAACCAAGAAAGAACATATTGTCCCCACAAAAGATTTTATGCTCTTTCTTAGAATTTCTGACATTTTCTCATACTTACTCATACTGGGAATACTGTATTTGTCCAACAGATTGTAAGAATATGTTGGTAGTCAGGTGTGTCAATAGGGAGAAAACAGTTTATCTTCCAAGATGGAAATTATGATGCTTAGTTACTTTTTCATTGCTGAATCAAAATAATTATGCCCAAAGTTAAAGGAGTAAAGGTTTATTTTGACTCACAGTTTTAGCCAAATGGAGTTTTCAGTCTCTAATCAGCTGGCTCCAAGACAGGGTGGCATGGCTGAGGTGCATAGCAGAACAAGCAGGAAAGAGGAAAAGACAACTAGCACCAGCAGCAGCAAGCAACTAACAACAAGCAGCAACTCTCTTTCTGTTCCTTACATCTTACCAGGCTGCACAACCTTAGGGTGGGCAGCGCTCACACCCAGGGCAAGGCAGCCTTCACCCTAGCATTACACCATGAATCAATCCCAGCAACACACACCTTAGACCCATCCAGCTCCACAAAGCCCACTGATGCCCTCATGAGGCTTTGGGGGACACCTAGATACAAGGTAGAGCAGGTGCCTTCTAATCTAAGCAGGGTATCAGTCTGTGGTTTTCTGTGAACATCACCAGAACATGCTCCCTTTTCCTTGGTAACAATTAGGGAACCAGAAGAGGAAGTGAAAGATGGCAGAGATGAAGCCATAACATCACCTGGTTGTCAGCTTCCTGTTGTCATAACTGAGTGCCACCAACTGGGTAATATATACAGCATAAAGATTTTGAAAGGCTGGAAAACTCCAAGTTGAGAAGCCATATTTCTGGAGTTTTTGCACTGCAGAAGGGAAGAAAGCAAGATAACATTATGTATGTATGTATGTGTGTCTGTATGTAGCAGTACTAGGGATTTAACCCAGGGCCTTCAGACTGAGCTACATTTGCCACCTTTTTGATTTTTAATTTTTATTTTAAGACTGGGTCTTGTTAAGTTACGGTATTTACACGTGTGTCCTATTTATTTCACTTAAGATTATTGCCTTGATATGCATCCATTTAGCTATAAATGTCTCTAATTTCTCATTTTTTATGGCTGAGTAGTACTCCATTTTATAAAAAAACCCCACATTTTCTTTTTTTATTATGCTCTTAAAGTGCTTTCTCTTTTTATTAAATATACTTTGGAACATTTGTAACATTTTGTAAATAATTCTTTTAAAAATATTATTAGGAATATGATCATTAGCATTTCCTTTACTCACATCAGTTAACTATTATCATAATTTATTAATGTAGCATAATACATTAGAATAATAATTTATGGTTCTTTTGAGTTATATTGATGTTAAGCTAAGATTTCCTATGTGCCTGTCAGCACAACACTCTCCACTACGAGACTGCTTCAATGTGACCATGTTGAGTGTTTTCCACACATGTCTCCATAGCTGAGCTCCTCAGCATGATTCCTGCGAAGCGGCCACAAGGTAGAGAAGCCACTGTGTTCAATCAATGCATTGATGGATGAGCCAGCCCGGAGAGAGCCCTTGTACAGTTTCTGGTTCTTGCCAACATATTTTCCCAGCTATAAGATGCCCCGGGGGGGGCGGGGATTCAGCTCAGTGGGACAGTGCCTGCCTTGCAAGTGCAAGGTCCTGAGTTTGATCCATGATACCACACACTCACACACACACACACACACACACACACACAAAGTAGGGAATGATAAAGACAAAAATCATTAAAAAAAAGCCCAGGCACCTCATCGTGTAATTATATTAGCTTATATATTTTATTTAATGAACAAAGGTATGCAAAAATTGTCTTAATCTTTCTCTATAGGTCACTTTAATTTTCTATTTTAAGTAACACTGGAGATTACAGTCTTTTTATTTAATACAGAATTATAAAAATATCATCTACATTTTTCTCTGTAGGTCATTTTAACTTTCTATTTGGGCTAACACATTCAGATGAGTTAGAAAGCAGCATATTGAAGGACCCGCCCCCCCGCCAGCAACCCAAACTCTGGCCAGAGTTGGCCATCTGCCACCATTCTCCGTGGACCCACAGGCCCCAGCCACCCAAGCCCTTCTCATTGCGTTCCTAGTGTCACATTCCAGCCCCTGCAGCTGGGTGTTTTCCTGAGGCCAAGCTAAAGCACTGGTTTCCCAGAGTCTCAGCATGGCCACTGGCGCTGCACTCGCCCTTTCCCAGTCCACCTGGGGGACATGCAGGGCTCTGGACTGGAGACGGCTGTGGGGAGCCTCCACAGTCCTAAGTGGGGACCCAGGAAGGCGAGGGCAGTTCCAGAGGAGTAGCGAAGATCCAACCCTCTGACAAAAATCTTTACTGAAAAAGAGATTCGTAGTTGCAAGACTGATAATGACTCCAAGGGCTAAATTAAGTCCTCCACAGCCTCCTGGATCTTGGACACTAAATTCCCTCCCTCTGACCATATTTCCAGATTCTTGTTACCTTTGTGAGACATCTGAACACAGGCGAGGGTTAGCACCTCAATTAAAACACCGGGCAATAGATGGTCCCACCTGGTTTGGACAGCAGAGGTGATCCCTTAGGATTTTTTTTTTTACCCTTTCAGTCTCTAAATAACTTGATTATATTTCCATATATTGATTTCCCTGTTCCATGTAAAGCATTATTTAACTGCTACTCCAGAAGATGAGCATTCTGGCCTACTAAAGTGGGAGGATTGAAAGTTCCAGCCCAGTCTGTGCAATGTAGTGACGGAGACCCAGCCTCGAAACACAAAATCAAAACAAAACAAAAGGTCCAGGGATGTAGCTCAGTGTGAAGGCTCTGGATTTAATACTGGCCAAGTCAAGCTGATCTACAATTATGGAAACCACAGAGCAACTGGCTGGGGGAACCCCACATTTTCTTTATTCAGTTTCCAATTGATGGGCAATTGGGCTGCTTCCAAGTTTTACCTATTACAAATTGTGCTGCTATGAACATGGGTGCACATATATTATTGTGGTATGATTCTTTTAATTCTTTTGGGAAGATACCCAGTAGGGAAATACATGGGTCAAATGGGACTTCAAGTCCTACTTCTTTGAGGTATCTCCGTACTGATTTCCACAGTGGTTGCACCAGTCAACACTCCCACCAGGAGTGGAGCAGTGTTCCTCTTTCCCCACAGCCCTGTCAGGATATGATATTGATTAATTTCATGATAGCAGCCATTCTTTCTAGAGTGAGGTGGAATCTCAGCATTGTTTTCATTTGCATCTCTCGAATAACCAGTGATGCTGAACATTTTTTCATATGTTTATTTGATATTTCTACTTCTTTGTCAGAGAAATATCTGTTCATTTCAGATGCCCATTTTTGGACTGGGATTTAAATTTGGGAGGTCTGATTTTTAAAAATTCTCTATATAGTCTACATAGTAGACCTTTGTCTGAGGAACAGCAGGTGAAGATCTTTTCTCACATTGTGGGTTGCCTCTTCCCACTGTTGGTGGTTTCCCTTGCTGTGCAGAAGCTTTTTAATAAGAAGAGATCCCACTTGATTGTTTGTATTAGTTCATGGGAAACTGAGGTAGTGTACCAATCACTACATGTTATTGAAAATAATATCAATGATGATTATAATAATCATGATGTTTTATTCAATTTTTAAATTGTTTCTGTACTATAAATTCTATCCATATTAAGACACTAACAGAAGTTGTAAAACTATAGTAGTGTTCAAAAGAATTTTCATTCAATATTACCTTCACAGCAAAAATAGCAATTGTGATCAGTAAAACTTTTCAGTAAATGATAGATTTTTAAATACACATTTACATTTGTGACTTGTTGCTGTGTCAAAACATAAACTACAACAAAGTGACAATTATTTCCAGGATATAGCAAACAAAGACTAAGTTTCCTGAGAATCTCAGAAGAGTTTGGATTAATGATATAGCTTCATAAATGAGCTCCATATTTGATGTCATTTTTAGAACTTTACTTAGATATGTAACACATTTTCTATATCAAAATATAATATAGATTCATGTTTGAGATTCAACATAGTGATATCAAATATTATCTTTGTCACACTTTATCATTTCACGAGACTTTGAAATTTACCATGCAAATAATTTTTTATAGCCTTCAGAACTGTCACCAGCAATCTAGTATTCTGAATAAAATGCACATGTTATTTGTACATAAATGACTATAGTAACAGTCATATATGGATGAGTTTGAATTTATTTTCCTTTGATGCAATTTAGAAGAAGGAACATAGTAGCTTCATGTCAAAAATATATTGTGCTTCAATTTTTCAAATGTAGTCATGGTAGACTTGAAGAATTGAAAAGAACATATAGAAGAATGTTAAGTTCTATTTTCCGTTGAAATGTAAAAGCTCATAAAATGTTGGCATTGCTGTTTGAATAATTTTTTTTATTCTTTTCACCTAAAGTCCATGGTCTTTTCATTAATCCATTATATTTTCATTTTCTTTTGATATGGAAAGTGTGTATAGATGAGATTAAAACAGCAGAGAAATTATTACTCTTAATAGTAATAAATGCATGTAACCTTTAACTTTCAAAGGTGTAGTGTTAAAAACGTTTTTTATTATTTAATGAGTACCTACTACGTGCTGGCCATTCTAGTACCAGCACTGCGTCTTCTATCACATTATTCATTCTAGAAAAAATATTT